CTACACTGAATAACGGAAATAAATCTATGCTAATATAATAAAATAAATCTATCTTACTATTTTTTGACTTGGATACATCAAAAATGAACTGGTTCATTTATGTACTGAACCAAGAATCCCAAATGAAATCAGTACAATGATGAACTGGTTCCCTAGTGAACTAGCTCGCTAAGACACTTCCTCGTAGATTAGATTAGATTTTAGACACGATTTTGAAGATTTATTCAATATTAAAAGACAGTCCATTATATCTACATATATGTATCTACAACCACATCTTTCCTCAGATTTCATGGGCAAAGTCTCAATATCCCCTACTTAATGAGTGTAGAATAAGAGCAAAATAAAGCAGGACGCAAACACAAAGAGCAATGGCAAAAAAAATTTATAAAATTCTGTTACGTAATTTAGCTAACAGTTGTTTTACTCTCCCTCTCGCTCTAGCACTCCCTCTCTTATTCACTCTCTTATGATATGCTTAAGAATATAAATATTAGATACACACACACACACATATACACACACACACACACACGCGTAGAATTTGATAAGCAAAAAGCGAACACATCTGAAAGAACAAAATTTATCTGCTGCTTATCAGAGTGGATCTCAGCTAAACTCGGTTCTTTTTTTTTTTCGTTTTTTCTGTTTTTTGTTTTTACCTCTAGCAGATGTTTTCAAACTTCCTCACGAACGATGCTCGGATGATCCGAGTCGAGTCGTCTCATGTGATTTTATATATACATATATATAATTTATATATATATGAATGTATATATTATGCACGAAGCTCAGTTAGCCCCTTGCGCACATGGCCCAGGTTCAGTTACGTGGAAGTAAGAGAACGAGTCCACACATACACATACACACATACATACACACAGCACACATTCACACACGCATAAAGAGATAGAGACGAATGCCTGGCATAACTTGTCAAACAGGATTATTAAGCAAAGTATGTCAGCGTTGGCTTTGCTTTAAAGACGCCATCTCAAGTGTAAGACAGAGCGAGAGAGACAGAGAGAGAAAGACAATCTAAAATAACTGACAGCTGGTCAGCTAAAGGCAGCAGCAGCAGCAGCCACCTTAACTGGTCACCCAACTCCAGTTCACATGTAAATGATGCTGAGCCAGAGTCTCTGATCTGGCTGATCACACTTGATCGAGCGACCTTTTTCCCGTTTATTGGGCGAGAGTGAAATCGTAACTTTCCCAGGAATATGTAGAAAAAGACTCAGATTCATGAGCGAGCTGAATCTAGCTAGTGAAACAGTTTGCATTCGAAGCTCTAAATGAATTCAAGATCATATCATTAAGAAGATATCTTTAGCATGAATTGGTTATCTTAGTGAACTAGTTCTTCTTTGAGCTAACTAGAAGTTCGAGACATTACGAATTTGTCATAAATAAGAAAAAATTAAATTGCAATTTTTTTGATTTATACATAATCATAATTAATCATAATAAATTATATAAATATTTCATAATTTATAATAGCATATATATAAATTATAATGCAGACACTTTTCATATCTTTTGCACTTGATGCGCTTTATCATATACACATACACACACACATACACACTCTCTCTCTACACTCATATCGCAGTCAGTCACACACAATGCGATAAGACACACATACATGTGTACATAAATAAATATATACAAATTGTCTGTTGCCGTTGCCATGTGCCTTTAGCCAGTGAAAGTCCAGTATGGTCATATAGGCACAACTCCACAATGTCTAACTGGATGTATGTAAATAAATATATACACATACATAAATATATATATAGATTATACACACACACACACAACTACCTTATCAATCACTAGGTATTCCCTGACATGAAGCCTAACACAATGCTGCAATGTTAACATTTTTCTGTTAAGCGTAAGTGCCAAAAGCCACTTGCCATCTCGCTCTTTCTCTTACGCATGCAATTTATGCCAATTCACTCACTTACACTTGCATGCATACATACATGCGTGTGTGTGCTACTTTGCATGATTCTGTCATTAGTTTTCATTAGCTGCTGGTCTTAAGTAAATCATCTTGACACTCGCTACACGCGCCCATTGCACTGACTCGCTCTCTTGATTGCACGCTCTCTCTTGCGCCTCTCCCACTCGCGCTCTCTGCAACAAAGTTGTAACCCACCCGCCGACACTGTGCTTGATCCGAAATGGAATGCAAAGAAAGCAGCCAAAGAGAGGCTTATTCTGGTTTTCGCTGCGCTCTCTTTCTGGTGCGGCACATCGATTCAATCAATTGAGTTGTTCGGCCATGCGCAGAGGCGTAGCGCATCTCTGCTGTCACATAGGCAATGCTAATAATTTATTAACTCGATTATCGCGGAAGCGCATTCAAATAGAATCTTATTGGAAGTGCAATGTGTGCCGGCTCTGTCGCACTTGTGTGACGCTCTACACGTGCCGTTTGGGAAGGTCAAAGAGAGAAACACGCGCGCTCCACACCCAGAAAGGGGTGCAACGGCAGAGGGGCAGCGGCATTTTGTAATTGCAAATAAGAATCGGCCAGAAGCGTTGCGATCTTTTATACTATATGTATATTTATTTATTTATTAATTGTTGCTTTTTCAATTTTCTTTTTCTGTATAAATCAAAGTCGCTTTGTAGTTAAAGCAAATCGACTTCAATGTGATCAATCAATTGATAAATAGATATAGATATATAATAGTGAAATCTTTATAGATGCCTCGCACATTGTATTCTTTGAAAAACCTAAGCCAAACATATATTAAGTATATAATAAATACACAAAAATTAATTAATTAACACCTATTTTCCTCAATTCTCATTTGATTTCCGCCTCACTAAAAAAATGAAATTTATTTGGCAAACCTTTTCCATCACACACTATCTCAAACACAATCTATTAAAACCCGCTCGCCAAACACTCAAGATATCAGCAAATGGCATAGCAGAGTCATAAATACACGCACACACATGCAGAAACACACAGACACACACACACACACACATAGATACCACCAGCAGCTATAGATAAGGCATTTACATAAACATTTATATAAGCACGCTCTTTGCTTATCACTCTCTCTCTCTCTTTCTTTCTTTCTCTCTCTTTAATTCTTATCAGACACTGATCACTATTAGAATCGACCCATTTAATAAAAACATTAGAGATTAATCGCACTTCAATGTCAATAATATGTGAGGAGATTACAAAAAAAAGGACAACATAAGAGAAAATCAATAATTAAACATAAACGTCTAACATTTACCGTTTAATTAGACTCAGACTTGCTATATGAACTTCCATCATAGTTAAATCAGACTGTTTTCAGCTATTAAACGCTAACTAATAAGCCACACAGCCGACTGGAAGGGTAAAGCGAGCCAGAGCAAAGTGAGAACGAGACAGGGAACGATGAGAAGGAGAGGGAGGGATGGGAGGGGGAGCGGTAGCGGGAGAGCGAAGCGACACGCGCTATAGTCGTCGCTATCAGCGCCGTATGCTATTTTTAAACACATTATCAGGCGTGCTCTAATTAAGATCTCTGCACTGAGCTTTCAAACAAAATGCTCACTAATCAAAATCGAAGCGCTGCAGTCCAATATGAATCTCAGGCACTCCAATCGGAGTTATACGCATACGCGCAAAAAATATTCACGAATATTCCAATAGTTAAGAGTCTTGGCAATATTTGAATAAAATTCTCTCTTAAATCATGTACTTATAGGAATTAATTGTATTCATGTTGGAAAGATTAAATAAGAGAGTATTTAGAAATCCAATTGGAATGGTCTTAGTTATATGCACAACTGTTATTAGACTATGTAAATAAATAAAATATTCAACACTACTATTTAACACTGCTAACTATAATTAATTGAATATGTCTTTAAAAAATATATATTCCTAGTAGAACACAGCTAAATAATCGACTTAATCCTATTACCATGATCTACAATTCAATATTATTTGCACAATAAATTATTGGATAAGTCTATAATATATATAATCCCATTAGAATATACCTGTAGACAAAAAGTGTCCAATTGGAATAATATTACTTGACTGCACAAATACGTCATACTAATAAGTTATGCCCGTTTGTAATATCAATTCCTATTACATCGTAACGATTAAGTATCCAATCGTAATACTACTCTTTTAATGCATTAAAATAATTAATTGATCAAATCAAATTAGAATACATCTAAATGATATAGAATTTGCAAATCTCTATTTTAATGCACAAATGCATAACAATAATTGATTGGCTAATAATTTACAGATACACAATGCATAACTATTATTCATTTGTATATTACTTATTGGATTACGTTAAAGTAAACTGATTTTCTAATTGGATGGCGCATTGGCATTGTGCACATTCCTATTGGAGCCCAATCAAAATAATCACATAATAAACTCATTCACCAACTAGAGTATACTATTGTACATAGATAGATAGATGCCGTTGAGAATTGTAACTCCCTTGGTGACACGCCTTCAAGGCGCTAATTGAGCACAAGTCTTGAATGTGCGCATTCTCTTATTAGACTGTAGTATGTGCATATTTTAAGTATTTACCTATATATTGAGCCAATGGGAAGTTGCCTCTGAGTTTTGTTGTTGTTTCTTGTTGTTATTGTTGTTCCCTTTGAATTAGTTGTTGTTGTTTTTAGCTGATATTATGCACTGTTTTGTTTTGTTTTGTTATTATGATTGAAATTATTTGTCAACACTTTTACGTGAGTCGTTTTATAGTGCACTTATTTATTAATTAAATACACGTTTCTTTCATTTGTTGTTGTTGTTACTTTGAGCAAAACTTGTGCCGGTTTTGTGTTTTAATTATTCTTCTTATTATTATTATTATTATTATTAATATTTAGTTTCGTTTGTTTCTTTTTCTTTTGTTGAGGCTAACTGGCATAATTTTTTGCTCTTTCTCTCTTTCTCACATACACAAGCTCATGTATCGATAAGCATATGTATATATGTGTGTGTGTATTTAGCTGCTCACACTTGCATAAGTTAAGCACTTGTTGTTGGTATTTTGTGGGCGGCTGTTGCTGTTGCTTGAGCTATAAACATACAAATTAAAAACGATATTTACTTAACGAATAAAGAAACGAAGCAGGAGCAGAAGAAAACACAAAAAAAAAAGTAAAACACATACAAAAACAAGAGCAATAACAAGAGTAAATTATGTAGAAATGTAAATACGTATTAAACGAGAGCGCGCACGTTGCGAAAAGAGAGACAGGCAAAGAGAGCGAGAGTGGGCATCTAAAGAGAGGTGAACACGCGAGATCGCGTCACGTCACCAATTCATGCCAATTGGACGCATACAGAAATTAATTGGAATTCGTATAAGAATTCAATGAAAGCGTGCGGCGCAGTTGACGTCGACGGCGAAGGCACACAAACACATGCACGTTCACTAATGATCCACACACGCTCACGCTCATACGAGCAAACATCTGTACAAAAGCTTATGCAGATAGAACACACATGTTTGCCCCTGTGTGTGAGTGTGCCTGTGTGTTTAAAGTTCAAATGGAAAAGTTTATATGTATACGTGTCTGTCTGTATGTATGTACACACATATAAGCACGTTTACTGCTTTGTTGTTATTTTCGCCTTAGTCAAATTTGAATTTGAGCAGCTATTTTGATTTCGCACCAATGTCTATGGTTATATATGTGTGCGTAGCTCTGCCGGCAGAAGTAAATTTCCAAAATACCAAAAAAAAAAAAACACGCAAAAGCTCCAATGAGAAAAGATCATTCCAGCCTTTGCTACGATATTTTGTTTTTTTCATTTTGTTGCTCTTTTTCTTTCAATTTTTTACTACGCATTCCTTCATACACTATTTCTTATTATTGCTCTTGCATCTGTGTGTGTGTGTGTTTGTGTATTTTGTTTTATGCTGTGTTCACTTTTTTCTTTCTTTCACATGTAGTAAATGTTTTGATTTGGAATTTTGCTAAACTCTTTACTTTTGAGTTCACTCATCGTTCGCCTATGGAGTAACAGGGGCGGGGCGGAGTTCAGAGAGCGGAGAGGTAAACACGTGATCAACCGTATCGGTTTTTTCTTTTTCTTTTTGGACTCGAAAGAATTTGGTGACGTTGGGGGTTAAGTAGCGCGCTAAACGCTGATCGACCTCGTGGCTTTTAACCGCAAACGCAACGGAATCTGCTCGTTAACTGCTTTCTAGTTGGATGCGAACTGACAACTGATTGGTATACGAAACGCTACAAACCGAAGCAGCGGCAAAACGACAGCAGCGTCGTCGTCGTAGTCGTCGGCGACAGCGACAACGACGAAGCGACACGAACAGCCAGCCAGCCACTAGCGAACCAGGCAGCGCGCCCGGCACGTCGCTCTCTTTTGTGTTGGCTGTGCGATAGTGTTGGTGTTTTGTGGTGGTGTGGGCTACACACAGATGTTGTTGGGCGCTAAGAGACAAAGCTCGCTCTCTCTCGTTTGTTAGCTGTGTGCATGTGTGCAGTGCTGCCAACTTTTTACCAGAATAAAAAGCTGTTTTTAGATGGAAGAAACGGAAAAAAAAGCTGAAAATTTTTACAAAAAAGCCTAAAAAAAAGCGGTTATTATAGTT